ATTTCCTTCCTGCTAGGGAACGCCAGGCAGCATCCAGCCCTCTCCTCCTCTCCGGCTGCGACCTCTCCGTTCGCGCGTGCGGGCGTGCGCGCAGCATGTCTCCGTACCTTAGGCTTTTTTTTCAGCTCCTCTGATTTTCCTTCTGGTTTTCTCTTTCCTTCTTGTTGTAGAATTTTCAGTCAGTTGACTACCTGTAGCTCTGGGCAATGTCCACTCTACATTTTAATTGTATTCCATTGAAATTGTTGTGTGCTGCCGCGGTTAGATGTCTACCTGAGCAGCCATCTTGGATCCTCTAGTGTATAATCCTTGATCAATGATTCTTTCTCATCATTGATATTTCCATCTCTCTCTCCCTCTCCCTTCCTCTCTGAAATAAATAAAAATATATTTTAAAAATAAAAGAGCCCTAACTGGTTTGGCTCAGTAGATAGAGCATTGGCCTATGGGCTCACGGGTCCCAGGTTGATTCCGGTCAAGGGCATGTACCTTGGTTGTAGGCACATACTCAGTAGGGAGTGTGCAGGAGGCAACTAATTGATGTTTCTCTCTCATCGATGTTTCTAACTCTTTATCCCTCTCCCTTCCTCTCTGTAAAAAATCAGCAAAATATATTTAAAAAAAAAAAGAAAAGAAAAAGAGGAAGGGAGGGATGGGGGGAGAGAAGAGAAACATTGATGTGAGACAGAAACATCAATTAGCTGCCTCCAGCAGGTACCTTAGCTGGGGATCAAACCTGCAACCTAGGCATGTGCCCTGACCAGGAATTGAAACCTGCAACCTTTCAGCGCATGGGACTATGCTCAACCAACTGAGCACAGGGCATACGTGAAGTGAAATATATGATTCTTAGGTGGGTAGTGTGATGAGTCCCCTCACCCTCAAATATATTTTTATTGATTTCAGAGAGGAAGGGAGGAGAGATAGAAACATCAATGATGAGAAACAATCATTGCTTGGCTGTCTCCTATATGTCCCCTACTGAGGGGTCGAGCCTGCAACATGGGCATGTGCCCTTGACTGGAACCAAACCTGGAACCCTTCAGTCCTCAGGCCAATGCTCTATCCCCTGAGCCAAACAGCCTAGGGCAATGCGATAAGTTTTTAGATGCATACATCCATGCAATTCACACCCCAATCAATATATAGAACATTTCATCACCTCAGAAGGCTCCTTCGTGCCCTTCCCACATTCTCATCTCATATCTTACCATTTTTTTCTGCTTTTCCCCCATCATAGATGAATTTGTCTGTTCTAGAACTTCATATAAGTGAAATCATATAGAATCTAGTCTTTTGTGCCTTTCTACCTTTTGCTCAGTGTTTGAGATTCATTATTTTGTTACATGTATCAGCAATCATTCCATCTTATTGCCAAGGAGCATTTATTATATACCTTAATTGGTTTATTCTTTTACCTGTTGATGGGCATTTGGGTTATTTATAATTTTTGATTCTTATGAAACATTCTATATGTAATATTCTTTTGCTTTGATTTTTTTAATTGTAGTACTATATATAATAAAAATTTGCCATTTTAAGCACTTCAAATATATAATTCGGTGGCATTCATTGCATTTAAATGTTGTGCCAATATTACCAATATCTGTTTCCAAAAAAACTGTCATCATCTCAAACAGAAACCCTTTCATTTCTCCTCCCCGCAGTCCCTGGTAACCTCCACTCTGCTTTCTGTCCCTATGAATTTGTCTATCCTAGACAACTGATGTGGGCAGTCTCCTATATTGTTCATTTCACTTAGCATGATGTTTTCAAGTTCACCCACGTTGTACATGCATCAGAACTCGGTCCCTTTTGATGGACCGATAGCATTGCATTGTTAATCCACGTTGGGCTGTTTACGCGTTTGGCTCTTGTGAATAACAAACACTGATGTACAAATGTCTACTTGAAGCCGTGTTTGTCATTCTTCTAGTGTGTTCCTAGGAGTGTAATCTCGGGGCCATCTGTCAGTGAACATCCTTTTCCAGTCTTTATATGTCCATCTGTTTTTATCTAGCGCGAGTCAAGGTGTAGAGGCGGAGCTGCTGGGTCATATGTATGCTTACTTCCACGAAAAAGGGGCAACTTAGGTTTCAGCGACCAACCGGGCCGTTTTATGGTCCTGCCAACCATGTGTGAAGTACAGTTGTTTCACATCTTCATCATTGTTAGGTGTGGTTTCCCCCACATCCTGCCCTTTAGGTGCCAAGTGATCAGTGTGATTTTTAACATCTCACCATCTTGCTCGATAGATGTTATTATTTAAAAAAATTAAAATATAATCAACATATGATATTAGTTTCAGGTGTACAACTGCATGTCTGATATTCGCATATATTGTGAAATGTTCACCACCGTAAGTGTAGTTAACATCCATCAGCTTCCTAGTGCGTAGTCACACTTTTGTTTCCTTGTGACGTGAACTTGTACTCTCTTAGCAATTACCAAACATACAATACAGTACCATGAATTATAATTACCGTTACCCTCAGGACTTATTTATAACTAGAAGTTTGCATCTTTTGACCACTTCCACCCACCACCAATCTGCTCTTTCTTTCTATGAGTTTGGTTTTTTGTGTTTATCTGTTTTGTGTGTGTTTTTTTTTTTTTTTTTTTTTTTTTTTTTTTTTTTTAGATTCCACATGTGAGATCTTGGCTTTTTAATTGTAGTCATTTTGATGCCATTATCTTGTAGTTTTAATATAGAATTCCCTTATGACTTATGACACTGAGCACTTTTTCAAGTGTTTATTGGTCATCCTTATCTTCCTTTGGAAATTAACTGTTCACATACGGTGCCATGTGAAAAATTGTATTGCTTTATTATCATGGACGTAGTAGTTGTTACAATAAGGAGCTCAGAGCCGGGACCGGTTTGGCTCAGTGGATAGAGTGTCGGCCTGCGGACTGAAAAGTCCCGGGTTCGATTCCGGTCAAGGGCATGTACCTTGGTTGCGGGCGCATCCCCAGTAGGGGTGTGCAAAGGCAGCTGATCGATGATTCTCTCTCATTGATGTTTCTAACTCTCTATCCCTCTCTCTTCCTCTCTGTAAAAAATCAATAAAATATATTAAAAAAAAAAAAAAAAAAAAGGAGCTCAGAGATAGACCCACATGTACACGGTCAGTTGATTTCTGACCAAAGTGCCAAAGCAATTCAATGGAAAAAAATCCTCCCCTCACCCCCACCAATTGATCTGAAGCAATGGAACCTCAACCCAGCTCATTTGAGACGAATCATAGGCCTAAATGTAAAACTTTTAAAAACGATAAAGCTCCCAGAAAACAGGAGGACATGACCATGACCCTGGAGAAAGCAGAGTTCCCGAAGAAGACCCGGGAAGCAGTGACTTCCATGCGGGAGCTCTGGGCCGGCCTTGACTGGCCATGTGCCAGTCACAGACCCACCAGCAGGAAGACAGTGGGACTTGCCTGGGGGTTCTTCACATGGGCCCTCGAAGCCTGGGTAGAGGCTTGTGACTAACTATGGGGTCTGTGTCCTGTGCCCTCAATACCACAAGCAAGGATTTACTGAAATATCTGAGCTGGTCTCACCGCATGCTCCACAACAAAGACAGACATGAGTCACCTTCCGGGCCTTTTCCCCTTAACTGATGTGGTCTTCACACATGAGACCAGGGTCTCCGCAAGTGCTCAGAGCAGGCCTCCTGCCGTGAAGAGGCCTGATGTCGGGAGGGAGGCGTTGTCTGAGCTGGCTGCAAGAGGGGTAGCCGCTTTGCCTGGACACTTGGTGGCAGGACCGGTGTGGAGTGGGGGAGGACTTGGGGCCTGGCGTCTGATGGAGCTGGGTTCAGACCCTCAGACCGGTCCTCTCAGAGTGGTGTGTCCTGGGGCCTCTCTGAAGCCTGGTTTCCTCGGATGAGGTGAATTGAGTTTGACATCAGTTGACCATTTGGTCTGAGGGCTGTTTTAGGCCTGGAGCGGGGACCCTGCGGTGGAGCCAGACTTGCCCTCAAACAGACCACAGAGAGGGGGAGCCAAAGGCAGCACCTCAGGCTCTGCTTTGCCCAGACAAGCTCCCTCTCCTAAACTTCCTGCCTCACCACCAGCCCCTCAGCCTCCCAGGCCCCCAATATCGCCAAACGTTTGCTTCTCTCCTCTATGTCCTGTATCCCGTTAGCTACAAAGTCCTATCAACTCTTCCTTTAAAATGCCTTTTAGCAAGAAATCCTTCTGTAGCTGAAACCAGTTTGGCTCAGTGGATAGAGCATCGACCTGCAGACTGAAAGGTCCCAGGTTCGATTCCGGTCAGGGGCATGTACCTTGGTTGTGGGCACATCCCCAGTAGAGTGTGTACAAGAGGCAGCTGATCAATGTTTCTAGCTTTCTATCCCTCTTTCTTCCTCTCTGTAAAGACTAAAAAAAAAAAAAAAATATTAAAAAAAGAAGAAAAAGAAAAAGAAAAAGAAATCTTCCTGTAGCCAATACTACTATTGCCAACCCGATTCCGACTCCTGCTTATTCTTCCCAGCAGAAGCCCAACTTTGTCCACTGTGGCAGCAAAAGGGACCCCGTCCCTGTCCGTCCACAGAAGCCGAGCGGAGGCCCTGCAGGGGCTCAGGAGAGGCCCCGGTGTTCTGGACCAGGAAGCTGCATCTGGGGAGGACTCAGCCTGGCGGGCCTCCGGGCAGCGGCTGGGTGGGGTCCTTTGCGGTGACACCGAGGGGTCTGGGGGGGACGTGCTTCAGGGAGGGTCCTGGCGGGTGCCTCTCCCATCTCGGCAGCCGGAGGTAAGAGACCACAAAGGAGGTAGAAGCTGGGGTCTAGTCTCAGAATGTTCTAGTCTGTGTGTGTTGGGGACAGAAGGTACCCTGAGGCACCGCTCCTCCCCCACTTTCTCTCCAAACCGATGCTTGTGGTAAACCCTGTGACGCGGGGAGGGGACCTATCAGAGGAGAAGCCCTGGCGAGGTCAGGCTGCGGGATCCCAGCCTCTATAAAACGGGCGTGGGGGCTGCCCGGGCTGCTGCCCACCATGGCCTCCTGGGTCCTCCTGCTCCTGGCCTCGGCGCTCCTGGGCTCCCCAGGTGAGGACAGCCCGCCCCCCCCCACCCCGGTGTGGATCCCCACGGCTCCCCACCCCCTCCCCAGCTTTCTTGCCATCATCACGGAGGCCTTTCCCTCAGAACCTGGCCCAGCCCAGCCTGACAGAGACCTGGCCGACGGAGAGACAGCCCCCGGGAAGGAGTGAGCCGGCTGGAACTCCAGCCGACGCTGCTGTTTCTCCCCCAGGTCTCCCCTTTTCTGGTGTGACCTCCGAGCACTCCGACCCAGCGATGGCCCCCCTGAGGGACGGAGATCAGCTCTTGCCGGTCCTGGCCCAGGGGGCCCCCCAGGTACCGGGTTCCTGCTCACCTTCACAGGCACGGCTTTCTCTGCTCCATGGACTGGGCCAGGGGCAGGGCTGGGTCTCTAAGGAGCAGGGAGTGGTGGGGAGGTGTGAGCTGCTTTGGTTCACACCCAGGCTGGACCCTCCCCAAGAGGGCCCTCTGGGGTCTGACAGGGGACCAGAAGAGGGGTTCATGCCGGCTGGCAGAGGTGCTGGTCCGGGGTCTCTCACAGGGGTGGGCAGGGGCCGGCCAGCCTGGTTCAGGCCCTTACGTCAGAAAAGTCACAGATGAACCTGTGGCCCGGGAGTGTGTGGGAGACGCCTCCTTTCCTGACAGGCTGACCTGCTGACCACATGGGAGCGGAAGGGCCTCACCTGCCGGCTGTGCCAGGCGATAATGCGGCAGCTGTTGGACATGGTGGGGGAGCAGCCTGACGAGGTGAGGCTTGTGGGGCCTGCGGCTCAGGGCGTGGGGCCTGGGCCGGTCTTCCCTGGGTCCCAGCAGGGGGTCCTGGGCCCCTTGAGTGCCCGTGGGTGGACCTCAGAGAAACCCAGGGAATCACGACACTCCTGGAGTGTGGACGTGGCACCCTGGGGGTGTGGACGTGGCACCCTGGGGGTGTGGACGTGGCTCCCTGGGAGGAGCGTGGACGTGGCACCCTGGGGGTGTGGACGTGGCACCCTGGGAGTGTGGACGTGGCACCCTGGGGGTGTAGACGTGGTACTCTGGGGGTGTGGACGTGGCACCCTGGGGTGTAGACGTGGCACCCAGGGGTGTGACAGGGCAGGAGGGGCGGGCCTGGTTTTGGGCAGTTCTCAGGGCAGAGCTTTGTGAGGCGGGTTCCAGGCCAGGTCAGCCCTGGTAAGTTCCAGATCTGCAACCAGCTGCATGGTCTGCGGAGTCATGAACTCCGGGCTATGTTTTCTCATCTGTGGAATGGCCCACCATGGCCTCAACCATCCCCACCGCACAAGTTGCCTATGCCCTTACAGGAGCAAAAGGGGGTGGGGGTGGGAGATGTGCTCCGTCCCCAACGGGCACTGAATAGATGCCCAGCCCACCCCTGGGCACGCAGATGCGTCTTTCTCCACGGGGACGGCAGCAGAAGATACTTTAAAATCGGAGGTGCCAAGGCTTTAAGCTCTGATCGCCTCCTGACCTTCCCACACACCTCCTCTGACCCAGGAGCCCCCGGGCAGACCCTTTAATGTGGGTCTGGCAGCCACAGACACCATCCTCCACTCAGAAGCCAGGGGGCAGGGACAGGGGGCTGAGACCCCGGCAGGGCCAATAGGCTTCTCTCAAGAGCCCCTCCTGGCCAGAGCCTGGGGTCTGGGAGTGGGAGCCGGGCCCCCCCTGCCCCCCGCTCCCACAGCCGCCTGGCACCAGCTCCCCCCCACCCCCAGCACTCCCTCTGTCGGCGCTGCCCAGGGCCCAGAGCTGGGGGGCCCGCGGGGGGAGCACGGGGGAGGGGACAGGGCTGGGCAGGGCTCCTGGGCTCCCTGGTCCCACCGTGACGCCGCCCCGCAGGACGCCATCGCCAAGGCCGAGTCCCGCGTGTGCAGCTCGGTGAAGGGCGTCCTGAGGGGCCTGTGCAAGCGCATCATGAGGAAGTTCCTGAAGCGCGTCTCCGCCGACATCCTGGCCGGCAAGGAGCCCCACGCCATCTGCGAGGACCTCCGCATGTGCAGGGCGCCGGCCGGTGAGTGCGGAGGGGGCAGCGGCTCCTTCCCGCGGCCCCAGACCGCCTCCACAGCAGGCCTGAGAGGGCTGACCTCACACTCACACACACACACTCACACACACACATTAACACACTCACACACACACTCACACACTCACACTCACACACACACACTCACACACACTCACACACTCACACACTCACACTCACACACTCACACACTCACACACACTCACACACTCACACACTCACACACTCACTCACACTCACACACTCACACACACTCACACTCACACACTCACACACACACACTCACACACTCACACTCACACACACACACACACTCACACACTCACACACACTCACACACTCACACACACACTCACACTCACACACACACACTCACACACACTCACACACTCACACACTCACACACACTCACACACTCACACACACACTCACACACACACACACTCACACACACTCACACACTCACACTCACACACACACACACTCACACACACACACACACACTCACACACTCACACTCACACACACACACACTCACACACACACACACACTCACACACTCACACTCACACACTCACATACACACACTCACACACACTCACTCACACTCACACACACACACACTCACACTCACACACTCACACACACACTCACATACACACACATTAACACACTCACACACACACATTAACACACTCACATACACACATTAACACACTCACATACACACACATTAACACACTCACACACACACTCACACACTCACACACACTCACACACTCACACACTCACACTCACACACACACACACACTCACACACACTCACACTCACACACACACACACACACTCACACACTCACACTCACACACTCACATACACACACTCACACACACTCACTCACACTCACACACACACACACTCACACTCACACACTCACACACACACTCACACTCACACACACACACACTCACACTCACACACACTCACACTCACACACTCACACACACACTCACACACACACACTCACATACACACACTCACACACACACACACTCACACTCACACACACACACTCACATTCACACACTCACACACACACACACACTCACACTCACACACTCACACACTCACACACACACACTCACACACTCACACACACTCACACTCACACACACACACTCACACACTCACACACACTCACACTCACACACTCACACACACACACACACTCACACTCACACACTCACACACACTCACACACACACTCACACACACACACTCACACTCACACACTCACACACTCACACACACTCACACACTCACACACACACACACTCACACTCACACACTCACATACACACACTCACACACACTCACACACTCACACACACACACACTCACACTCACACACACACACACACACTCTCGAACGTCATGAGCAGCTCTTGTCTGCCCCCCCCCCCCTCCCGCCTGCTTCCTTGTTTGGACACATCACTCCCCTCACTTCGTGGGGGAAGAGTGGAGGCGGGGCAGGGGGGCTTTCGCTGGAAACGTGGCCGAAGCTCTGCTCACCAGCTCTGGGAAACGGTCCGAAGGCCTTGGGGCTGTTCCCCCGGCAATCCTGGCGTCAGTCAGGTCTCCGTCTCCCTCAGCTGTGTGACCCTGGGCAAGCAACCTAACCTCTCTGGGCTCTCAGTTCCTCAACCTTGAAGTGTGTGTGTGTGTGTGGGATAATTTCTATTTCTGAGGCTGGAAGGAGGGTGAATAAGATAAAGAGCTTAACCCCAAGGAAATGCCCTGGGACTGAGACATTCCAGTGACGGCAGAGCCCCAGTCAGTGCCAATCCTCAGCCCAGCCAGAGCTTTGGGATGGGAGCTGCGGCCACACACTTCCCCACGACCCTGGGGGCCTGAGAGCCCCCAGCCCCTCCCTCAGCACGTTCCGGCTGTGCCCAGAGGGGCTGGGGGGCCTAGGACTGGCCCTGCAGCTTCTCCGGCCCGCAGGGACACTTTGATGCTGCAGACACAGGGCTGCCCCTCACAGTGTGTGGTCCCCATGGCTTCCTGTCCTTAGATCCCTCGGCGTTTATCTTCAAGCCCCCACAGCCCGCACCGTCTCCTGACCGGCTTCCGGGAGTGGCTGTGGGGTGCTGAGCAGACAGGTGGCTCTGAGTCCCATTTCCCCGTCGACCCCTCACACCCACAGCGGCTCTCCTCTCCCTCCAGGTCTCCCGCCAGCCTCCCGCTCCGCTCCGGGGAGGAAGCGCAAGAACCCCAGCCCTCGCTCTCGGCCCCGCCTTCCTTCCTAAACCCGGGGCCACCTCCCTCCTGTCTCTCTCCCCCAGGAGAATAAAATGTGCATGCTTTCAGACAGCTGCTTTTCCTTTGGTGGGTTTGGGGGTGGGGGGCGGGTGGGAGGGGCGGAGGCACGTCGGGGTGACTCATCCATTCATTCGGCGCCTGTGTGATCTGTGGCCCCACACTTCTCCATGCTGGGGGCACGACAACCTCAGCAGCTCTCACACACGTGATCGTGAGACGCTGATGGAGCACACACTGGAGCCACCGCTGCTACAGCGACTGGGGTTGAGCCTCGGCAAGTGTACCCCAGAAGCGTCCAGAGCAGCCCAGGGAGAGCTCTGCTGGTTCCAAGGAGCAGAGACCACCCTCTCCCCCGGGGGAGAGCGCGTTACTTAGGGTTCCTCTGGCTTCAGCAGCAGCGGCTTTCTTTCACGCTGACTTACATGAAAAGGTGCTCTGTGCGGTCAGACCATGAACACCCCGCAGAGAGCTTCCGGCACAGGACGGTCCAGGAATGCGTGGCGACCCCAGAGCTCCAGCCCCGTGTCTGCGCCATCCTCTCCTTTCCCCCGCCTCCACGGAGGCACGCCGCCCTCAGGCTGCTTCCTTCCGAGGGCAGACCTGGCCGCACCGGCCCAAAGGCGCCACCTGTGCACACGTCATGGGGGGGGTGGTCCTTGGCCCCTGTTTCTCTCCCCCTCAGCCCCGCGGGCCAGGCGCCCCGAACCCAGCCTTCTCCCAGGGGCACGGGCACACCGAGCAGCACAGGGCACATCCTGGGCTGAGGCGGCCCACGTGGCCCTGACCTTTGGGTTGAGATGGACGTGAAAATCTGGGAAAGGTTGTAGCCAGAAGGGGGAGGTAGATCCTGGCCACACAAAGAGCAACGGTGCCTCCGCCAGGGTACACACACACACACACACACACACACACACACACACACACGCCTTCTGCATGTGTGTTTATGTTACCGTTTGTATTGATTTGGCTTAGCAAGTGGCTGGCTGGTGGGGACATTCCGGAGGTGGGGAGGATGTCTGGTGGGTCTGGAGGGAATAAGGAGGAACTCGGCTGTGTCCACGTGAAGCGCGTCCAGCAGATACCGGGTAGAGATGTCAAACAGACACTCAGACAGGGAGGGGCGGCGAGGCCAGGGGGCACCTTGGAAGCCCCGCAGTTGGATGAGATGGCCGAGAGCAGCGATTTCCAACCTTCCCATCCCATGGCTCACGTAAACAGTTGCTACAATTCTGCCGCACACCAAAAAATATATTTCTCTCAACATAGGTATAACTTTGAGTTCTTCCCATTGGACAGCTCTGTAGTGTTGGCTGTTTTTATTTTTAAAAAATATATGTTTTTATTGACTTCAGAGAGAGGAAGGGAGAGAGAGGGAGAGCTAGAGACATCAATGCTGAGAGAGAACCATCGATCGGCTGCCTCCTGCACGCCCCACATTGGGGATCGAGCCTAAAACCCAGGCACGTGCCCTGACTGGGAAGCGAACTGTGACTGCCCGGTCCACGGATCAACGCTCAACCCGTGAGCCACAATGGCTGGGCTGTTTTCTAACTTGACCATCTAAGGGAAGAGAGGTCAGTGCCCCCGACCCAATAGTCAGGTGTTGCATGCTTTAAAGTTTTGCGGCGCTCAAGTTGAAAATCGCTGGCCTAGAGTGATGCAGACGGGTAAAGCCAGTGTCTGAGGAGAGAGCAGCCAGCCCACACGAGGAGGCCTGGGCGGGGAAGGAGGAAGAGCCAGCCAGTGGGACAGGAGGGAGACCAGGCACAGAGCCCAGGAGCCAAGAGGACTAACTGTTTCGGGGACAAAGGCGCGGCCCAGCATGGACCGAGGACCGGCCACCGGCTCTGGGAGCCTTTGGGTCTTGGTGACCTTGGTAGGAGCCGTTTCTATGGCTAAGACGGGACAGCAGCCCCTGGAGCGGGCGTTGGGGTGTGATGTCAGCATAGACGCACAGCTTTGTTAAGGGTTTGCGGCAAAGGGTCGGAGAGAAATGGGACAGAGCTGGGGCCCAGTGGAGTGGGGCCTGGGTTGAAGGTGTTTGCAGGCTGGGAGGCATGGCTGATGGTGCTGATCATCACCGGGAACAGTCCAGGGGAGGCCTTGAGAAGGGAGAGGGTGGGACCAGGGCACAAAGGAGGGTCAGCAGGGACTTCTAACGGCGGGAGAATTAGCGGTTGACTCACCTGTAGGGATAAAAGGAAGCCAAGCCAGCTTCTGGTTGTCGCTCAGAAGGGAGCTTGCGCGCATTGGCCTCACAGTCCAGACTGCTGGGAGGTGCCTGCTCATCCCCAGCCCCTTCTCAGGTCTCTAACATCACCTCTCTCACCACCAGCAGCCCTCGGGGGCCAAGCTGTGTCACCTGACCCCCTCCCTCCCTTCCCACCACTTCAAGACCCCGACCTCAGCTAGAGCAAATGACTCTCTGCTGGGAATTTGGAATTTCCCCCATTTTAGTCCCAACCACCTTAGCCAGCCAGCCCTGGCCAGGCCTCTGCAGCAGTTCCCCCAGGGGCCTTCAGAGTTCCTTCTCCCCCACACCCTTTCCTCCACACCTCACCAACGGCTCTTTTACAAATGCAAACCACTAGTGAGCTGGGAGAACCTTCCAGTGACTTCTCATGGGATTCCGGACCAAGTTCCGACTTCGTGTTAGAATGTGGTGTCAGAATAGTAAGCCAACAAAATACACCACCTGCCTCGTGCAGGTGACTATTAAAAACCAATTAAAACATCGCCTTAAAGGTACCCAGCACACTAAATCTCTGTTGTCAAAAGTAAAAATTATCAACTTAATTAAAGGGCGTCCCCGTCAGCTCAGTGCTGTGTGTGTGTATGAATATGCTGCGTGTGAAGGTTTTTCTAAGGAAAAGCACTGGCGATCTCCTGCTTTTTACTTGCACTGCCTGTTTTATCAGGGAACACTATTTAAAAAAAAAAAATATTTTATTGATTTTTTACAGAGAGGAAGGGAGAGAGATAGAGAGCTAGAAACGTCGATGAGAGAGAAACATTGACCAGCTGCCTCTTGCACACCCCCCACTGGGGATGCCCACAATCCAGGTATATGCCCTTGACCGGAATCGAACCTGGGACCTTTCAGTCCACAGACCGACGCTCTACCACTGAGCCACACCGGTTTCGGCAGGGAACACTATTTTTTAAAAAAATATTATTTTATTGATTTCAAAGAGGAGGAGAGAGGGAAAGAGATAGAAACATCCATGATGAGAGAGAATCATTAATTGGCTGCCCCATGCACCCCCCCGCCCCGAATGGGGGATTGAGCCTGCAACCCGGGCATGTGCCCTTGACCGGAATCGAACCTGGGACCCTTCAGTTCCCAAGTCAACACTCTATCCACTGAGCCAAACCGGCTAGGGCAGGGAACACTATTTTTAAAATTGTGGTAAAAAACCCGTAACATAAATTTTACTATTATAAGTTGCTGACTTGATCTCCATGTGGGAGGCAGCCAATAGATGTTTCTCTCTCATTGATGTTTCTATCTCTGTATCCCTCTCCTTCCCTCTCTCTGAAATCAATAAGAATATATTTTAGAAACAAACAAACAACAACGACAAAAGACAATAGAGCTACCAGGCAGGAATTTTGCAGTTGACAACGGGGTGGATGTGGGAGAAAAAGCCAGAGAGCCCTGCCCAGACCACTGCCCACGGCTGAGCGTGGGCACACCTCGGGGTGCAACTCTGAGGCTTCGCACTGCGAGGTGTGGGGGGACTTCACTGAGGTCATCCAGCCAGTTCAAAGGTCAACGCTCAGCCACTGAGCCACCCCAGCCGGGCTGGCTGCGGGATTGCTTTCAACAATGCCCCAGAACATGCATGGCTTTCCAGTGGAATCTGATAAAATCCGAGTTTTTTCCTGGGGACAGTCCCTGAGGCCAGTGTTTGCGATTTGTTCTGACCCAAGAAGGCTTTCTCACAGCTGTCTCTTTCCCGCTTTCTCTGATGAATTAGCCAGCCTACAGTTTAGCCCCAATCTTCAATGAACCTATTCATCTCCCTCCAGATGCCTGTCGTCACTGCTTCCTCTGTTTTGGAGAGCACCTTGGAGCTCCAATCTCTCCACACTGGGCTGCAAACGGAGCCAGTTTCTTTGGGGAGGGGTTTGGCCTCCTTCTCCTCCGCGGGGAAAGTCTCAGAGCCAAGGCCCTGGGGCTGTGGGCCAGGACAATGCTGTGCTTCTGTCTGGGTGTCACCTCCACGCTGGGAACTGAGTGTTGGGGGGAGGGGGGAGGTGGGAGGGGAGAAAAGGAGCGGGGGGGGGGGGGGGGGAGGGGGGAGAGGAGCACCCTAGGCCTTCTGGGCTTGCCTCCGCTGGTGGGAATTCCCTGCCTATGAGCTGGGGCAAGAGGAAGTTGTAGCCCCAGTATTTTCAGCCACGCCACACTCCACGCAGAGCCCCACGCCCACCAGTGGGGGCTGAGCAGCAGGAGGAAGCCCTACCTCTATGCTGCCCTCACCTGGGATTTAGTGGTAGTGACAGTAGCTAGGGGCAGGATGATATTCTGCCGGGAAGACAGCCTTCTGTCCTGTACATGCTCCTGTCCGCACATGTTTGAGCTGGGAGGGCGTGGGAGGGAGAAGGTGGGTCTTGGTTCGAATACCACAGACCCTTGTGGTTTTTGCTAAGTTTCAGTAGATTTTTTTGGGAAAAATTATTTCTATAT